CAACTTTGGAAGTGCAATTTTTAGAGTGTAACCACAATTAACAGAATCAGTGGAAAAGTTTGAAAAACATTCAAAAGAGTCGTAACACTTATTAAGCGACATGCCAAAGCTGGTGGTGGAAAATAAAATTCGTGTAGGCATAAGCATAACGTCTTTACTAGAATTATTACTTCTTAGAAAGAGGCAGATCACATGCACGTAACAAAATCGGGTAATACACAATAAAAAAAAAGGCGAAAAAATTGTACAAACTTATGAAAGGTTTTGGAAATAAAGTTGGCTGACTCCCCAAGTCATTTGAGTTGCAACTGAAACTGCAATTGTGCATTCAAAGCGTGGACATCGTAGAACAAGAATGAAAAAAAATGAAAAAATGCGCAAACAAGATAAACAGAAAAAGATAATAATTTTTAAAAAATGACGGACAGAAGTGAAAGAGATATTTTTGAAACTTAAACTGAAAAAAATTTTTTTTTTTCAATCACTCGTGCAAGAGCTCAAAATCTAAGCTGGTCTCAATCGTTTAATACTTTGCCGTCTCAAACAACTATTATGGAATCACACTAGATAAAAGACAAGCTTATATCATTGCTCACGAACAATTTACGATTGAACTTGTTGTACCCGGTAATGGTGACAAGTACATGGATCTCACCCACACGATGCTCCGTCTGTAAATCAGGTAAGCCGTCAATAAAGATAAAGAGTTAAACGCTGACATAGCATTTTAAATCATAAAGGCGATGCCAAAAAAAAATTTTGCATTCGTTGTTGAATCAAGCCAATGTGTTTTACAATCAGAAAACCTGCATTACCTCCTTCTAATTCGTACGTTTACAAAGTGTATGTGGGAGCTTTATTGACTGATGGACCTGTGTCTAAGCCATGCCACTACAAATCTATTGAATTTTTACTATTTTAATACTAGCTTTCATTATTTTCTTTGTTGTACATTGATGGCCCTTAGGTTTCTTTCAAACCATTATAATATGACTTAAAAACAAACAATTTCAACGCAGATGCTTATAATTCCTTGTATTTAGGTACTAGTGCTTACTTTTTTAATGAAGGAAATCATATAATCACTAGTCTGATCCCAACGGTTACTGCCTCTTTGTTTACGGTTTAACACTATATTTATCAGCCAACGAATGTTTTCATTAAAATCTGATTCATTACGTTACCGTTAGATCAGACATTTAATTAGCCAACGCTCTGCCTTTGACTGTTGACTGTATGGTGCGTGCTAAGTACGAGAGTATTTTTGAAATTAATGCACCACGTCAAATGATGGTTGACTTGATTAGCTAGATAGCCCCGTTAACTGCACATACTTACACTTACTGCATGGACCCATTAATTATCTGTTAGTTGAGCTCCTGTTGGTACGATGAACCAGCTATAAAACGCTATGGACTTTATAGTAGACATTAAGTACTCCAAGGTGAAAAAAGATGTATTGAAGCTAAAAGAAATTGCTATCGTTGCTCTGCATAACGACTTTTCCTCATCTTCGGTAGTAACTCCTTTTCGCTTCCAAACATTAAGTAAGAAGGCCCTACGTCAAAGCATTCAGTTGTTTTGACACTATCTTAGGCTTAATTTTTTTTTAAAGCTAAAGCACTCTTAAAAGTATTTTTTTTAAATTTAAATTATATTGGAAGAAGCAGACGAAAAATTTACGTGAGGGCAGGTGTAAAGTGGTACAATTTGCTCGAAATCAGAAATGTTTAAAAAAGTTTTGAAAACAAGATCAACTGCCCACCTTCAAAAACCTTACCGTCAAGCCAACTTCAACGAAGAAGTATTGCATGCATAACGCATTGATGCCAGATTATTGGAAATATTAATGTGCCTTAAGAAGTGTTTTTAAATTAAGATATTGGCTCTAGGAACACAATCTTGACAAGAAATTATTAAAAATAACAGAAACTAACCATGAAAAAACTGCAGATACTGCAACATCTACCAAAAGTATTGTGCATATTGTAGGTGTTATCTTAGCACATCAGATCACCCGTGTGTAAAGGAAACCAACAACTTTTGTAATGAAGACTGATAATCACACAATGCCAGTTACTTATTGGGTTGCTGCTTATGCTTATAAGCAAGGTCGTAGCATTTATTCTAATAAGTGTGGTGTACAACAATATATACTGGGTTACATTAATCACTTACATAATAACTGTAAAAAACTGCATTCAAAGGTTAAACAGACACAAAGCCGTCCCCTAAATACATGCGATCAATTTTGTTTCATGTTTCTGTATTACATGAGTTATGGATTGGGTTCAAAAAAATTTCTTGACAACTTTTTCGATGATTAAAAAAAAAAAAAACAACGATGTCACTGCACATTTTTTTAAGTTAAGATATAACAAAAGATATATTAACTATGTATTAGGTGAGTAAAGACAATTTTATATAATGCTTACAATGTAGTAGCAGTAAGACGTTGTTAATATAAAATTTAACTTTCATCTCTTATTTCATATCCCTGTAAGTATGTACTTACAATTTGTAGTCTGCACATTCCGAAAAATAAAGCTATAGGCTCTTATAGCTTGCAAGAAAAAGAAATGGTGGCATGTCACAAGCCTATCTTGAGAGTTTTGAAAAATTGTCACAGTCAGCACTTTTAAACTTTCATGTTCATACTTCTTTTCCAAGAAATACCCTTCAAAATGCTTGATGGTGCAGTTTTGACAAACTTAAACGTGATTTACCACATCCAATCATCGTTAATACCCCTGCTCTTTCAAATAATTGGTAACATACCTTTGTGCTTCAACAAAACGCAGGTGTCAGACTCGTGTTATCATAGCTCAGAAATTTATAGACTTTATTTCAGAAAAAAGCGGTAGTGTATATTAGGCTGAACTTTTTTTACTACCCACCAAAAATGGTAGAAACGTTGCAAGTAATCGGAAAAATAATAACGTGCAGAGTATGTACAAAAAACTTGTAGCACACGGCATTATAAAATGGAGAACTTTGACAAAATATCTTATTGGTAGTGTTATGTAAAATATTGTGTCGTTTTCATGTAAATGCCCTTCTTAATGCTATGGAATAATGGCGTTAGATATATCTTTTAACGTACTTTCTTTTCCTAAAGTTCTAACTAACTTCTATTTTTTACAACGTTGGAGATTAAAGTATGAAATAAGAGTTAAAAAGCTGAGCGCCCTTTCGGTATATCTGCTTTTTTATACTCATTACAATTAAACTCATACACAAAAAGAATTTAGCCAACAATAGCAGTGGATTGGTAAAAAAATGTGAGAATAAAAAATGTGCAGTAGCCTGCCCAGATAGTTTTTCCAGTATAAATACAGAGAAGGGGGAGCCCTTCCCTGTAGTAAGTATACGGCAGGACAGTGACTCTGTTTAGATACTTTGACCAGATAGTGGGGGTTTGTGGTGATGGACTACTGTGTCACAGTAACTTTTTAAATCTTCTTTATAATCAAAGACATTGTTTATGATGCGTGTTTTCTTGGGTAGATTAGAGCCAATCCAAAAAACGAACCCGCACATCAAGGACAAATTAAAATTATAAAAGGACAAATGTAGCTTCAAATGATACATATCTTTTAGGTATATGCGAAAATCAAGGGGGAAATAAATACGACTGAACTATGAAGTAATATGAAACAAAAGTTTAATATTTATTTAAAGGAATAATAATAGATTGATAATAATAACAAATAGGGTAAACGAAGGTAATAATTGTTTAAAGACTACTTAGAGAAATCAAAGTATTCAAAAAGGCTTCTGTATATAATTCAATGCAAACTCTTTGTAAAAACAATCAACCAAATTTAGTTGCAAAATGAAAATGGCGACTTACGACAAATTGCTAGAGCGGAGTTTTGAGCGATAAGTGCCTGGCGAACAACAGCGTTAAATATGAGATTTAAATGTCACAACGATTTTAGAAACGCGCAGCAATGCAAAAACTTTTGTCGACGGCGAGACGTGCAGGTCGAGCAGCGACAGCTTCGCGGGAGCGTCCTGTCAGTTCGATCGCCGATGCGAAAGAGAGAGCCAGGCAACTCACACGGGAAGCGTACAAGACTCGGAAATTCAAAAGGGAACCAGGATGGGGAGACGCACACATAATAAGAGACTTCACAAAATTTAATACATCTATTATTTGTTTCATAATTGATAATCATGGTGTAAGTGTGTGTCTCCTACCAAATGGTTAGTGCTGCTATTGACTTCCACGCCAGCGCAATTACAATACCAGGCAATCATGCCGAAATTCTCCGCTCAAGCGAACATTTCGCCCGCCTTGGCACAGTGAAGCGTCAAAAAATAAAAAAAAAATCCAAAACGCGAGATAGAAAAGCCTATTGGTCGGATAGAGCTAAACCTAGACCACTTTTGCAGGTACAGTGGTGTTACAAAAAATAATTTTAAATATTTACTATAACAAAATCACAAGCAAACTATAAATTTAAGCTAGAAATTAAAGAAAATAAACAAAAAAATTGTTTTTGAAAATGAAGCAAAAATTTTTTTTCAAGTAGCTAATAACTGATCTATGCGTGAAAGCTAACTTTTAACGGTGTGAAAAAAGTAAAACATATATTGCTAAAAGGATCCAAAAAAAAAAAAACAATTTCTTATAACTCGAGATTTTCTTGACTCACCCGCCTTGATGCATGGGGGCTCCTTTGATCTGGTGGTAGACATTGATCAAAGTCGGGCTCGGTAGGAAGTTTTACCACCTTGACGATGGGACGAGTGAATACAGAGTCTGCGGTCTTGATAGTAACCACTCGTACAAGACCATCAGACACAGGGTGCGTATTAATTATCAGGCCCAGAGGCCATTGAGTTGGCAGTGAGTTTTCGTCCTTTAATAAGACTACGTCCCCAGTTTACAAATTTGGCTGCTCTTGGTGCCATTTGTTGCGTAGCTGAAGATAGTGCATGACTTCCTTTTGCCAGTGGGACCAGAAGGAGTCACGAAGTTCGCCAAGAAGCCTCTAGCGGTCGTTAAGTCTTTTAGGCTTCTTGGCATCGTCGTGAGGCTCTGGAAAGGCTAGCAATAAAGATCCCACTAGAAAATGAGCAGGTGTGAGGGCAGTAGCATCAGTGGCATTACTGCTTAGCGGGCATAGCGGTCTGGAGTTCCAGCAGGCTTCAATCTTCGATGCGAGTGTTGCAAGCTCCTCGAACATTAATATAGCATCGCTAACGACTCGTAGAAAATGATGCTTAAAGCTACGAACTGCAGCTTCCCAGAGTCCTCCAAAGTGCGGGGCTCGTGGAGGGATGAAAGCCCAATTAACTCGTTGAAAGAACAGAGCACTGGCTACTGTGTCAACGAACGATGTGGACTGAGCAAACATAGCTTGCAACTCCTTGGCAGCACCCTTAAATGTCGTAGCATTGTCCGAGTAGATGGACGAAGGGACACCTCTGCGGGCACTGAATCTAGCGAAGGCTGCAAGAAAGGCGTATGTAGTTAGACTTGACACTATCTCTATATGTACCGCTCTTGTGACCATGCATATGAAAATTGCGATGTAGCCCTTCGTTGATTTGGCGCATCTTCCCTTCGAAAATAGCACCGGGATCGGCCCCGCATAGTCCAATCCTGTGGTAGCAAACGGACGGGTAGGAGTAGTCCTTACAGCCGGCAAAGAACCCATCAATTGAACTGGGCTCCTGGCGTTAAATTTGGTGCAAGTAGTACAACGTCGATAAACCCCAGTGGCTATTGACAGGCCACGGGTGATCCAAACAGTGCTGTGTAGATATGATAGCGTCATTTGTACTCCTCCATGCAATGTGACTCGATGCGTCTCTTCGACAAAACGTTTAACAAAGAGGCAATTTCCTGGTAGTACAGTTGGATGTCTCTCACTATATGACAAGGGAGCTTGATGTAGCCGTCCGCCCACTCGAATCAAACCCTGATCACATATGAAAGGACAAAGTTTGGCCAGTGGATTTCACTTGGACACTGACTCGTTGGCAAGGAGTTGTTGTCGCTCGACTCTGAAGTGATACATTTGAATGGCTCTAAACAAAAAAGTACGAGCACTAGTCCATTTCTTTTGTCCCAGGATGATGGAATTTTTCTTATTAACTTGCTTGGAAGCTCGAAGCCTCCAATGGCTACAATAAGCAAGGATGCGAAGTATTTTGCTAAAACTCGAAAATTTTTAGAGAATAGGCAGACAACCTTTAGATACTTGCGATTCATCGACTTTCTTTCGCTCTCCCAAAGCCACTAGGGAGTGGGTAAGGCCTTCAGAAAACTCTGTGCTTGCAGGTTGCGTTGGCCAATGAGACTCGGGTTCCAACAGCCAAGTGGGTCCATGCCACCAAAGTGAAAGAGTGGTCAGATCTTTAGGAGCTAGACCTCGAGTCGCGCAATCAGCTGCATTATCTGTTGATCAAACATGCCTCCCAGTTGCAGTTGGCAGGGACGAAATAATTTCGCTTGTGCGGTTTTCCACAAAGGTGTGCCAACGAGATGGATGACTGCGCAGCCACTCCAACACTACCTTTGAGTCGGACCAACAGTGTATGCTCTTTGGCACGTGTTGGAGTTTGGAAGTAAGATGCAGAATCGACTGCGTAGACTGCTACAGCATAAGCTCTCTGTGAAGCGTCTGAAAACCCATGCAGTTCCCACGAGCCCTTTTCTTCTACATCAAGCCACCGTGTAATACGAATGATTGCAACATCGTTGAGTCCCTCCCGAAACTTCGTCCATCATATGCGCACCTCCTCGGGCACGGGAGCGTCCCAATCAACGTTATTGAGCCACAAGTCCTGCATAATGACTTTAGCGATGATGATCACTGGAGCAATCCAACCTAAAGGATCAATGAGTCGTGCAATTTGAGACAGTTTTGAACGCTTTGAAACGCTAGAAGCCCCCTGCATTGGAGTTACTCTAAAAAGAAAGGAATCCTCACTCGTTAGCCATTTCAGACCAAGCGTAGATATTACCTCGTCAAAATGAACCTCTACCTCTGCTGGAGATTGAGTTACCAAGCCGTTGAGCAAGCCTGGGTGATTAGCGGCCCATTTGTCAAGATTACTACCAGCAGACCGCAAAAGGTCAACAAGTTGGTCACGTCGAATTAGCGCTTCGGCAGATGTATCAGCGTACAGTGAACCTTTTTCAAATTTTTTTTTTCAAAATCTAATATCTCATGAACGAAGTAAGATATTGATACGATTCAAAATGGAAATTTAAGCTTCTGGGCATAGAAATAAAGAAAAAATATTAAGAAGTTATGAGAATTACATGTTACAGTGTACCGTCTATTTAAAGTTGGTGCTCTGATGGAAAAGTCCTAATATTATGATACTAATTAGCTTTTAAAAATAGCAGACGATACTTACAAACATACAAAGCATATATTTTTTTGTATTTTTTGCTGCCCTATCTTAATTTCTCCCTTACAGCTTTATATAAATCAAACATAATCTCAAAATTCTAATTTTACTTCGAAATATCGATTTTTTAGTATTAAAACTTGTGTTCATCATTAGTATTATGGAAAAAAGTACTGTTCAAGACTCTTACTGTAGTAATCTAGTGCATACATTGAAAGTGACTTTAAATTCCGCTGTCTTAGAAAAATAAGACATTGACATAACTTAAAAAAAAACTTATCTTTTCAAGATTACATTTGGGTATTACGTTTCTTGAACATCCTTATTTAAAGTTTGTAACAATCATTGTACAGTATTCTATGCATTGTATTTGTAAATAGCAATTTTGTTACATCGAAGTGACACCATAGGTAAGAATCAAAACTAAAAATCGATTTTCTCATTTATTTTTTTTTTTCAGATTATGTCGATGTCTTATTTTTCCAAGACAGCGTAATTTGAAGTCATTTCTAATGTATGCACTAGATTACTTTAGTAAGAGTCTTGAACAGTACTTTTTTCTATGATACTAATGATGAAAACAAGTTTTAATACTAAAAAATCGATATTTCGAAGTAAAATTAGAATTTTGAGGTTCTGTCGAGGTCTCATTTTTCCAAGACAGCGTAATTTAAAGTCATTTGTAATGTATGCACTAGATTACTATATTGAAAGTCTTGAACAGTAATTTTTTTTATTATACTATTAGTATGAACACAATAAACACAAGTTTTAATACTAAGAAATCGATTTTTTGAAGTAAAATTAAAATTTTGAGGTTATGTTTGATTTATATAACGCTGTAAGGGTGAAATTAAGATAGGGCAGCAAAAAATACAAAAAAATATATGCTTTGTATGTTTGTATGTACCGTCTGCTATTCTTACAAGCTAATTAGTATTATAATATTACGACTTTTTCATCAGAGCATCAACTTTAAATAGACGGTACACTGTAACATGTAATTCTCATAACTTCCTAATATTTTTCCTTTATTCCTATGCCCAAAAGCTTTAATTTCCATTTTAAATCGTGTTAATATTTTATTTAGTTCATGAGATATTAGATTTTGAAAAAAAAAAAAATCAAAAAGGTCCACTGTGCTGCGCCTCCAAATAGATCATCTACATAGAGCTGATGCATCAAGATTGCGGCTGCCTCCGGATACTTGTCAGCTCCGTCGAGAGCAATCTGCTTCATTACTCGCAGAGCTAAGAACGGCGCAAAAGCAGTACCATACTTCACGGTAACACATCTGAAGTCCTGAGGATCCCGCTTGCAGTCATCTCTCCACAGGATTCTTTGCCAGTCCGCGTCATCTTGGTGTACTAAAATTTGTCTAAACATTTGCACTAGATCCGTCGTAAAAACAAATTTAAAAAATCGCCAATGCGTTAGCACAATTGCAATATCGGACTGGAGCTTGGGGCCAGATAAAAGCAAATCGTTGAGTGACATACCGTTGGGCGTTTTCTGTGAAGCGTTAAAAACGACGCGTATCTTTATTGAATTTCCTGGCTTAACTACAGCGTGATGTGGCAAGTAATAATTGGGATTACTTATTTGCGAAAGAGGTACGAGTTCCATATGCTTACGATTCAGATACTCGAGCATAAAGGCTTTATAAGCTTCCTGAAGCTGTGGATCACGCTGTAGTCTGCGTTCAGCGCAGAAAAGGTAAGATGCAGTGATTGGTCGTGAAGGAGCCAGTGTTGGTCGTTTTGCAAACGGTAAACGAACAATAAACCAACCGTCTTTATTGCGAGAGTGGGTGCTGGCAAAATGAGATTCACAGAACTAATCCTCCGGCGACAAAATGACTTTTCAGGGTACCTCCTCAACCTCCCAAAACTTCGTGAGAATCTCTGACAGCATTGATTCTGTGTACGTATGGAAAACTCGAACTCGATTTTCATTTAAATAGCAAGCGTTAGGGGATACACTACCGGTTTAGAGCCATCCAAATACGGAGTGTTGCGCTACCAGAGTTTGAACTAGGCCTTTAATTAGGCCATTAAGCATGATGGATGAATAAATATCTGCTCCTAGAATGAAATCAATTCTGTCTGGTTTGAAATGATGTGGATCCGCAAGCTCTAAACCTTGAATATGTGGCCAATTACCGTTCGAAAAATTTTCTCTTGGTAGACAACGTGTAAGCTCGTTTAAAACTAGTGCATAAAACGACAACGCAAAATCATCATTTTTACTTGACTTGAGAGTCGCATGCGTAATGGCTGTAGCCTTTGATGATTCCTCGGCCCCAACACCAATTACGGAGAACGAAGCTCGTTGAGAATTGAGATTCAGATATTGAACTGTTCGTTTAGTAAGGAAGCAACGTTCTGAGCCGTGATTGATCAAAGTGCGAATCGACAGCGATTTTCTGCTTGGATTTTCTACTAGCACGCGAGCCGTAGCTAATAGCACTGAGGCTCCTACAGCAGCGGTATTGGCCGTGGTTTGAGCTTGCACTGGGGATGTCGAATCTGAATTAGCAGTTTTACTCTGAATTTTACCCTTATTTTCTCGCGAGATTTCATAAGACTGCTTATCAAAATGAAGTTTTGTGTGATGCTTAGCTTGACAAATATGACATCTGTTTGCTGATGGGCATTTAGTTGCGAAATGATTTTTTTGCAAGCAATTCAAACAGAGCCTCTCTTGCTTGCAAAATTCAAAACGTTTAGATTGGGCCATCTCGTTAAATTTTGTGCAACGTTGTAACCAATGGTTACCCTTGCAAAGGTTGCACGCGGGTGTCTTTGAATCACATTCTTCTACTGGTAGTGCATTATTAGCATTAACACGTCACGATGCGTTATAGCGAGATGCCATAGCATTGCTAGATTTTAAACAAGACTCGTGTGAATCGACTGAAGTTCGAGCTTGCTCTAGCGATTGAATGCGTCGCTCTAAAAATTTAATTAAATCTAAGTAAGCTGAAAACCCTTCGGCGTTTTCTTGAGATATTTCCCAGGCCTCACGCGAATTCAAGTCAAACTTACGAACAAGGCAGTAAACGATCCAGTTGTCATACTCGTCAACTGGGCATTGTAATTTACGAAGAGTGCGTACCGATTCTTCAGCATGGTCAATAAGTGCGTTTAAATACTGAGCATTCCACGTTCTAACCGGCGGTAATTGGATTAAATTTTCTAGTGTATTAAAGAGTCGAATTTGTGTGTTATCGTACCGACGCACTAGCTTTTCTCAAGCTACTTCAAAGTTAGCTTCCGTAATATCAAGCCCTTTAAGGCGTTGAGCAGCCTGACCCTGCACAGCAGTCAATAAATGCTGTAATTTAACGACGCAAGGAATCGAAGGTTTATCCTTGATTAAAGAGCAAAACCGTTGTTTAAAACTTTCCCACTCG